AAACATATATATATATATATATATATATATATATATATATATATATATATATATATATAAGTATCTTTATGTTGTAAGCATCAAACGGAAGAAAACAAAGCTATGAATTACCATCCACCATAAGTGACACAACTCCATTGTCGAGGGCCAAACTTAACACCAAAACCATCCCTAATAATAGGCATCTCCTAGAATATCTTTGATTGTTCCTTTGGTCTGAACCCATCCAAGATAGAAGCCTAATTAGGCATTTTTGCACCATGTTTCAGTGAACTCAATTTCTAACTACCAGAGCCCAACTCAAAAGCTCCTTTATGTTTATATGGAGATGAAAAAAAGTTTACAAGATCCAAAATAGAGGCAACAAATTGGATGGCTTAGATACTACCTTTCCTAAGCTTTAAACAATAAACCTTGAGCATAATAACGATAAGACAAGAATATACAATAAGGATCGAGAAGAACTTACAACGAGGATTGATTTCCACTGAATTGCTTGAAGAAAAATGCAGAAAAATGAAGATGAAGCATAGATGAAGAAGAAAGGAGGAAACGACAATCTTCAAAGTGAAGGAAATAGGAGAAGTATACAATGTTTTAGGGTTTATTTGACTGAGGGTAATTTTGGTATTATAAAAACTTATAAGGGACAAGAGAGTAATTTTATTGGTCAAACTAAAATGGCTTTTAAGCCAAAATTGAAAAAGTTGGGATCATCCAACTTGCTGCTTTTGGCTTTTTTAAGCACTTTTTAGCTTTTTTTAAGCAGCTTTTTTTTTTGCCAAACACTCCAAAAAATAAAAAAATTGCTTAAAAGCTGGAACCTGCTCCCTCCATCATATCTGAGGAGGGGATCGCAGAATTGAAGTCTAGGTGGGGAATACCTCGCCACGTTGAAATACTGCCGGCGGTGGGGGACGACATAGTCCATTTTGACCGCCCAGGGTATTGCGCGTTCTACGACTACCCCTTTATTGTTGGATACACGCTTCCCTCCCTCTCTTGGTGGTAGATTTCTGCCGCTTTTGCGAGGTATGCCCAGCGCAACTTTCGCCGTAGCTTGCTGGTCGTGAGATCACTTTTGGGGCATATGCTCAATATTTTCGCCCCTCAACTCATTCGTGGCACGATGATTCACATGCGCCACCGAGGGTCGAAGATTCTGGTGGTGAAGATGGATGATAGATCCAACCGTCACTTCTACGAGAATTACTTTTATGTGCGGACCGAACACCTTGTGGCGGATCCTACGGGGTTCCCTGAGAAATGGAACTTCGCCCGTAAGTTTCTATGTTTTTTGTCGGAATGATGTTTGACTGCTTTCTTTTGGGTAGTACTAAACTGTGTTTTTACAGCCGCGAAGCTACCTCCTGCACCTGTTGATGGTATCCGCGAGTGGGTGAGTACAATCCTTCCTCATACGGCGGGTGTCCGTACATGGTCGTCTTTCTATGAGAAATATGGACGCAAGCCTCTTACTGGTGAGTAATATCGTCTTTATTTGATATTCCTTCTCCTTCCCTTTTTACTTGGTTTCTTATGTGATATTTGTCGATCCCAGGAAGAGTGCGGAGAGCAAGGGCTCCTCCATTAGCTTTTCGTCAACCTGCCCCGTCCGCTCGTCCTGCCTCGGCGTCTACTACCCGACCTTCATCGAGAGTCGCTTCAGTCGAATCTACGGCTACAGCCGTACACATGGAGGTTACCCCTCGACCTGAGATGTCAGTCCCTATTACCTCCCCAGTGAGGGAATCTTCCCATGCCGAGGAAAGGGAGGGGCCATTAAAGAGGCGGCGAGTGGAGTTCGAAACGGCTCCTTCAGCCGTGATATATTTAGAGGAAGACCTTCCCTTTATGGGATCTGAGGCAGGAGTTGATGTCGTTCCGCCTATAGAGGCGGTGCCAGTTGTTGTGTCCGACCCATAGACGAAAATTCCCACCGTTGTGATTAATCTGCCACCGGCCGTGACGGGGGGTCAGATTTCTGAGGCCGCTGCTACTACTTTGGATGGGCCTTCGTCCTCGGTACCTGGTCGTGCTTCTTCCTCGGCCGCAGAAAGGGGAAAGGCTATCGTGGTCGACGACTACGAATCCGAGTCTGATCTTGATCCTGATGATGTTAGGATGTTTGAGGAGGTCTTACCCATTCGGTGGTTCAGGCGGGAGGGCCGTCCTGTATTCTAGAGATTCCATCGGATATCAACCTTCTAGGAGATACGGAGGACCTGGTGCCGCAGTTTGACCTCTTGTGCTCCGCCGCCGAGAGCGAGGCTCTTCGGAACGTTCCCGATATTGATTTGATGCACGAAGTGGCCGCTATGGGCTTGAGGGTACGTTTCACTTTCCTTTTATGTTCCTTTCGTTTTTCGTGCTGGCCTGGCCTTAGCCTGTCTTTTCATTTTTCAGACGTATATGGTGGAGATTGAGAGTGCTCGCAGAGCTGATGCTCGGGCCAAGATTTTCCTGACGATGCTGGGGAAATATCGGCGCTATCGCGATAAGTGCCGTGAGATGCACAATGGGCTGAAGGCGAACCCTGATGCTTGATCCCTCGGCGAGGAGCTGGAGAAGGGGGACCAGCAACTGATGGAGGCTATCCGCACAAGTAGTGTACTCGAGGAGCAACTTCGCGCAAAGGACGAAGAGCTTGAGCTGGGCAAAGGGGTTGCTACAGAGTGCGAATATCTTCAGGGGAAGTTGAGGTCTATGCAATCAGAGATGGATCAGAACCTTATTAGGGTCGAGGCGATGGGCGTGAAGTGGATGGGGAAGTTGACCGAGTTGGAGAGAAAAGTTGCCGGTTTGGAAAATATCGAGAGTGCTTGGTCATCGGCTTTGGCGAGGGCTGCAGCTTTAGAGAACACCATCCGCGTCCTCTAATCCGAGCAGGAATAGGAGAGGGCGACGACCACGTTGAGGGAAGCGAGGCTTGAGGAGCGCATTGGTGGGATCGACCGAGAGGCATCGACACTAGAGGACCGGGTCGCTGCTCTTGAGGCCGAAAAGGAGCAATTGTTGGCTCAAGTCGAATCCTCCTCCGCCACTGTTCCTCGTCATTTGCACGAGCTTTGGGTTCATGCTGAAGCCCAGCGGGACATCTACAAGAGTTTGTGGGAGTCGGGCAACGTTACTGAGGCCGCATATGAAGGAGCATGGGTGAAGGCACGAGAGGCTCGTGTTAACTGTGGATATGACTCTGCAACGCCGGAAGCTAATGAGGGTGCGGGTGATGAGGGAGGATCTCCGGGGGATGGTGCCGAGTGAAATAATTGCTATCTTTGTTTCTCTTTTTTTTTTTTTTGTAGTTTATTGTTCTTTTCTTGGATTCCGTTGGTTTTAGCTGTAGGTA